GCATTCGAAAACTACACAAATTACAAATAGTACTGCTACCACCACTACTACTACGACGACGACGACGACTACTACTACTACTACTCTACTACTACTACTACTACTACTACTACTACTACTGCTACTGCTAGTGCTAGTGCTAGTGCTAGTGCTACTGCTACTGCTACTGCTACTGCTACTGCTACTGCTACTACTACTACTACTACTACTACCACTACTACTACTACTGCTACTATTCATGATAATAACAATAATACTATTCATAATGATAGCCGATAGCAACAATGAGAATAACAAGAATAACACGAATAAAGGTCGTGGTATTAGCAAGCAGCAGTCATATTCCAGCTCGAGGCCAAGCATGTGTGTTTTGGGTGGGGTCTTTTCCTCCTCACTGAATCGGAACGCAGCGATGGCCGCGAACCTCCGGGGCAACTACAAGCCTCTCCAAAGGCTTCGAGCCACTCGCCCCCAACCCTGTAACCGCTGTAGCTACCCGCAAAGTCATGCCATCGAATATCTGGAAGATCGGCGCCAGCGAAAGATAGGAGCACGTTGCCTTCCTGTGCATCATGATAGTTCCCCGAGTCTACCATGGTAGCAATGTCCAAATGGTACCCCACCAAGATAGTGGAAACAGCTTCGACTGTCAGCGCGTCACAGAGGCTATTGAAGGAGTTGCATTGAGAATGTCCTCCACCAAAGTGAACCCCACTGCAAGTTTGCGATGCCTCCCTGTGCACAATATCACCACGTTGTCTCCTCCACTAGAGCTGCATCGTTTTCGCAAGTCTGAAGTGGTGGTGAAGGACTCTTGCACTGCTCAGGACTGCTGCGGTCGGCAAAGCAAAGTTTTGAACAGATAGCACACGCTTGGCGCACGGCATGGGAATTAAAGGCTTAGGTTTTAGGATCTGGCGTTCCAGCATGGAGGGGGCGTCTCTTGACCGTAAACCTCCGTGGACTTTAGACAGCACTAGCCGAACAAAGGAATCAGCAGCGGCTTCTTCAACGAGCTGGTGCAACGGGTGGCCCCCAGCTGAGAAGACCAAACTCTGCCAAGGCCTATGATGAACTCCCATCTGCAAAATCCCCAAAACCCCGACTGAACTGACTGGCATGGCTGCGACGGAGCCGGACACCTAAATGATGAATTTACCGGAAAGCTTGGTGAAACAAGCCTGAGCTGGCCGATGCAAGTCTTCAAGCCCCAGTCTCTGAACCCCACCCCCCAACCCCACAGAGCCACTCTAGGACTCTAGGGCATCGGCTGTGGCGCTGCACTGGGAGCTTCCACCGCCGTCACCGCGGACCTCGCCTGCACGTCACACGAGTTGGTCGCGGGGGCAGAATCTCGATAGAGCCCCTAGCCTTACATACCTAAACACGTAAACTCAACTGTATGTCAATATGCATGAATATGTATGTATATCTATATATATATATATATGTATATCTCTTTCTTTCTTTCTTTCTGCCGGGCGTAGGGGTCCACTAGGGACCCTCAGGCCATCGGCCCGCCCGACCACTCCTTTTTGCTATTGAGTGTATATATATATATATATCTCTCTCTCTCTCTCTCTCTGTTTATTTTTAACTGCTTGTGTCATTTAGAGCTATCTATATCTAGTTATATTTGCTTGTATTGATCTGTGTACATAGTTGCTTATATTCGTTGTCGTTTTTACAAACTTATACATACGTGTGTTTGCTTCATATATACATATTGCTTACAAATGTACTCACCCACATCCACACACGTCCATCCATCCATCCATCTAGCCAGCCAGCCATGGTTGATTGGGTGGTTGGGTGATGTTGGGTGGTTGGGTGGCTGGCTGGCGGGCTGGCGGGGCTGGCACGTATGCGTGGGTGTGCATGTGCATGTGTGTGTGTGTGTGTGTGTCTGTATGTGTGTGTGCGCGGCGCGAGAGAGACAGAGAGTGAGAGAGAGAGAGAGAACTAACTGAGTGTGAATCGTGGTGATGTGGGATAGCAGAGAAATCCAAGAAATAGTTCAAAATGGAATGACAACGGTTCAGCACCCAGTTTTGGATTCGTCCTCTTTTGAAAATTGTCCCCGCCCACCTCACACCAGCAAATTTGGATGCGAATCCAAGCCCCCCACTCAGTCGGATCAATACTGATACCCCCAATCGAAAACGACGACATCTCCACATCCCCCGGCCCTAACTAAGCTCTCTAGCTCTCTCCCTCCCAGCATGCCGATGTGGGCGAAGCGGCGTGTACCGGGTCCGAAGGGCCCAAATGCGTACGCCAAACTGAAGCAAAACAAACAAGCTTGCATAGCGGAAGCTGCAAGCCTATTCTACCTTGCTTCCCCGAAGACATGTGGCCGTTGCTACTCCTTGGCAAATCGAGGCTCCGGCAGTGCCAGGGCAACAGCGCTCAAAGGTGAACATGCCATCCTTTCGCACAGCTTTCATGAAGGCTTCGGTCAGGGAGGTCTTTCTTCAAGAGGTAAGGGGTGGAGAAGGGAGGAATGGAGGCACTTTGGAGTATGGACTTCAGAACCTAACACGTTGGTTTGAGATGTCCGGCCTCGGACATTTCTGATAGCACAGGCGTTGCCGTTTCGGATGTAACTCCACGTGCCCCAAAATTTGCCGTAAACTCTGCATTGCTCAGCGATGCTACACTGAGGCTTCGTCCCAGCAGCTGGGGTTCCCGCTCAGCCTGGGAACCGAGGTTATAAAACACTACTGTAATGTAACATGATACTGCAATGTAACATAACGTATTATAACATAGCACAGCATAACACAGTGTAATACAGTATGCTAGCATATGATACAAAAGTAGGTCGAGGGTTTGTTTGGGTCGACCCGCATCCCTTGGCGAAGCAGGCGATGTGACTACCTTTTTTGGGTTTAGCTTGAGGGCCAATTGGCGCAAGGTTCTTTGTCAATTACTCCTGGGTTGGTCCGTTAAAGCGCTTGAAACATCTTCGGAAATAAGATCCTCTTAGGTAAAACACAAGGGCAAAGATGAAACGACCCAAAGGCCTCCCTGGACCCATAAGAGCCCTGAGGGTCTTGAGGCATCCTGGCACTGCTCGGCTCGGTCTCCGGACCCATACCGGCGGGTGTTGCAGCAGTCTTCCGCCATGCCACCCCAGTGCGAGCCTTCCGCGAGACGTGTTAGATGGACTGCTTCGACCGACAAAGGCCAAGGATAAGCCTGTCCGACAACAACAACAATTTTGGAAGCAAGGTGTAGCCGAAGTATCAACAATCCACCTCAAGACACAGCCAGGTGAGAAGTCTCTACTTCCAAGACCCGCATGACTGCCACCCAAAAACAAGAAAAGGACCAAACCCGAACCCTGCAGATTTGGCTGGGCCCGCCTGCCGGAAAGCACTCCGTCTGCTGCATCTCAAGCGGGTCCTCAACGGTTGGTTCGATCAGAGTGGGGTAGAAAGAGAGAGAGAGAGAGAGGAGGGACAAAAAGAGACAGAGAGAGAGAGAGAAAGAAAAACAAAAAAACATAGATGAAGAGACCTCTATGTTAAGTGATGCTACGATGCTAAGTGTCTTGTGGTGCTTTATTCTTCAGAAAAGTGCGCCGGATGGCATGTATGGCTTACAGCCCACACCAGGACTGAGGTCAACAACTCTGTAAGTGCAAACCGGAACGACCTAAAAGGGACACGTGCACCACTGCATCCAGAGTCCTCTCCGAGACCTCGGCACGGACAAGCAGTCAGCAGGGCTTCACTTAGGTCTTAGGGTTTCGGCGGCGGTTCAGGGTTTTTTTAGGGCTACAGGGGTTTAGGATGTCAGGCTCACAGTGCGTGTTCGCAAAGAAGTGAGCCGACTGTGTGGCGAAAGCTTGTCGTTTTCGATTCCCCTCCCAGCCACCATGTCGAGCCAGTGTCGCGTTGGCGAAACTGAGTGCGTTCGGGACGGGAGGCAGTCATTAACTGCCTGTGCTTGAAGCTTTGGCATCGGCAACTATCAGTCGAGGGCTGCTCTAAGCCGGGGATATGTTTAAAGTAACAAGGACAATAAACTTACTTGGAGCAGCCCTGCAAGTACGTGTCAGGCTGCACAGACGCAAATGTCTCCTACGCAGCCTCCCTCCTACAGTCATCTAAAGCCGCCTCTGATCACAGAGAAGGACACGAGGAATCCCAGGGGGTTCTTCTTCTCAGACCACTTCTTTCAGGTATTTGCCCTGCTGGTCCATGAGCTGCTGAAAAGCGATCTTGGCAGCCTCCCTGCAATGCGCATTCCTGGCGATTTTGCAGGGAAAGATGCGAAGCTCTTAGTTTCATTCATCAGGACATCTAGGCTTTGACATCCCTGTCTGGCTTATAATTAGAAGTTTCTAGAGGTCGAGAGATTGTACGCAGCAGCTCACTTCGCTGTCGAGTTGATACAATTGCTATACAACGCTTTAGACTAATAGATTATAAGATCATAGAATATAATATAATATAAGATCATAAAATAAAATATAATATAATATAATATAATATGATATAATATAATATCATATAATATAGTACAATATAATATAATATAATATAATACAATATCATTATAATATAATAAAATATAAAATATATTATAATATGATATAATAAAATATAAAATATATTATAATATGATATAATATAATATAATATAATATAATATAATATAATATAATATAATATAATATAATATAATATAATATATAATATAATATATTATATTATAACATGATATAATATAATAATTATAATATATAACTACCAAGTTTGGGGCTGCCCGCTTGTGGGATCTGTGCAGATTAGCGTCTTGTCCGGGTGCAGCTTGCGCTGCAGTTCTCGGAACACTTTTCGTCGGACAGCCACGGGCTCGTTGTGGGTGGCTGCCAGCGTGTCCTTCAAAACTTAGGCGGGCTTCGTGCTGGTATTCTCCTACCATGGATGCATGTCGAGAACCGTTTATTTCCAGTTTTCCGGCACGTGCCAAGGTGCCTTCTCCCTGGACGGGGCTTTGCCAGGTTGTTCTGATAAGGAGCCTAGAAAGCGATACGGTACGGCCTCCGATGATCTCAATGCGTGCCTTGCATGAAGTTGACTTATGGTATCTTTCGAAAACAATGGAACTCTTCCCTGAACCTCTAAGCCGGGAACCTGCTAATTCCACGTGAAAAGACTCGGATTTGGGAGCCAATCCTCAAAAGACTTCATAGATTCTTAACGCCCAAGCCCTAAACTCCTAAAGCCCAAACCCCATAGACTCCAAACCGAAAGCCAAAAACCCAGAGCCCTAAATGTGCCTTCATCTCTGCCAGCAGCCTCTCAGTTTGCCTGGGCTTCAGTAGCCGCTCGATTCAGCATCCCGAGGCTCTTCACCCTACAACCTAAACCATAAATCCTGAAAGCCCCTGCTCAATCTCGAGGGTTTGCAAAACCCCGGGCCCCATCAGCTGAATTTCCGCATCTTTCACTTTGGATCCGACTTTCCCCCACCAAAGCAACAAAGGAATCCCAAAGAACAGGACAAGGATCCATTCATCATGTCCTACCCTTGTCTACCCAAGCCCCCCAAAAGTACGGAAACATGATGCAACGCCAAGAAGACACCCGAGCAAAGTTGCGGGTTCAAGCATCATGCGAAATCAGCATAAGGATCACCATCAGCGCCCACAGAACAATCGTCGTCTTCTTCGTCATCGTCATCAGCTTCACATGATCACCACCCATCGTCGCCATGATTGCACGATCGTCGTGGCCACCGCCACTATCAACATCACCAGCAGTACCTGCAAGAACATCAGTGTCCTCGATAACTCTGGTCACCATCACTGCCATAATCTTCGTGATCGTCATCATTCTCCGCTTCATCATCAGCTGTCAGGGTTCAGGGCATGGGGATTCAAGAAACTCCGTAATCGCTTCACCCCTTTATTTTTTGGGGATGTTTAAAAACACATTGGGCGAATCCTCCCGAAAACATCCTGCCCTCTAAACCTATTCTGAATTTGGGGGAGTGCAAAGAGGGTTTCGAGGCTCCAAATACCCTTACATAGAGACTTAGAGCACAGTAAGAGCGAAAGAGCAGGAGCAGGAGCAACAGCAAAGGCGGGAGCATTAGCAACAGCAACAGCAGCAGCAACAGCACAAGAGCAAAGCAAGAGCAAGAGCGGGAGCAACGGCACAAGCAGCAGGAGCAGGCGCAAGAGATGCAGCAGAAGCAGGAGCAAAAGCCAGCGCGGGAGCAAGAGCCAGAGCAGGAGCAGGAGCACCACCCCTCAGAAGTGGCAGTAGAGATAAGAATACCCCCCTATAGTACAGACAACTTTCCGAGTTTTTATTTGGGGGGGGAGGCCGTTAAATACTAGGAGGCCGGGATTAATAATCACGCGCAAATAGCCAGTCATGTTTGTGCCCATGGTGCTGCAGCGGATACTTTCATGAAAAGAACATGCCTCATCCGAACCCTAAAACCGCAGCAGTAGCGACGCACTGTAATTAGTTTGACGCAGGGATGCGCTTCCAGGAACTTCTCGCCGTCGCCGTCGAAGACAGTCACTGCATCCCTGCCCCGCCAAAGCCTGAAACTGAAACGACGCGGGAATAGGGAGGCGAGTGCTTACAATCAATTAGGTCCCCTCATATTCGGGTCGTGAGCAAGGACCAGTCCAACAGTAGCCTGCCTCCTCAAAAAAGGGAAGTGCTTCAAAAAAGCCCCAGACCGACATTTCCAGAAACTCCTGCACAAGCCCCGATCTCTTTACAGACTTTGAGGATCAGGCGAGGACATCTTGGAGCGAAAATGAGCCATCATCCGGCCCAAAGGCGACGTCTTCGACTTTTTCGGATGGGTTTGTGGCACACTCGGAGCTGCTTTCGCGGCTTCCTTGGAGACAGAGGCAAGTGAGGCAAGAGCTGCAAGTTTCAACAACATCGTCCAGCACCCTTCAGAACAAGGTTCTCTTCCGTCGTGCTTGTCTTCGAAAGATTGAATTGGAAAGGTCTGTCATGTGTGTGTGTGTGAAGAAACGGCCGAATGAGTAAGCTTGCAGGTATCTACAAAAGTTTACAGAAGTAGTGAATGTCCGTGAGCGAGGCTAGCGAAATTCGGAGCGGAGCCGTTGAAAGACCTGAATGTATGCATGTGCGAACATGTAAACGCCTTTTCAAGATTTAGATAGACCTTCACTTTGTAAAATAGAAGCATGCCCATAAATGTCGGCATAAGCATCAGCAACCAAAGGCAAGAACATTCAAACGCAACTGTAAATAAAAGACAAACAACCAAAAAAACGAAGTATTTAATGTATTTCTACATGCATGCATACATGTTGCATACGAATACATACATACATACATACATACATACATACATACATACATACGTACATACATGCATACACAATACATTCCAATATGGAAGCGTGTAGTTTTGTCTGTATACCTACATGTAGAACTACATGTATAGGTGTATAAACCCTTTTACACATGCTTGTTTCGAGCTCGCCCGGTCTAGTCTAAATTTAGGGTTTAGGGTTTAGGGTTTAGGGTAAACCCTACATAAACCCTAAACCGCGTGGGACCTCAGCAGAGGCTCTCGAAGTCGGCTGGCTGAGCTCCTCCTGTTCTCTCGCGCTCGCTGCCGTTCCTGTCGTAGTGCCTCCGCCTTTCGCAGACTATCTTGAGGGTTTGCTGTGAGAGATGTAGGGATTGGGGAGCTGAGGGTTTCTGGATCAGGATTCGGTTTGGCAGCCCAGAATCCGAAAGCCACACAAGTGCATTGAAAGAGCAAGCATCTTGGATAAATATGGTTCTGGAGAGGCACAACACAGCGACTGTGCCAGTCCTCCATCTCCCTCTGCTGCCGGAGGTTCTCCTCTTGCTGTCGCTGGAACTCCTGCGTTTCCATGAAGCGGGATGCCGGTGGGTGGCGGAGGAACGTCCTTGCTTCTACGATGTCTGGATCTGACTCCCTGCTTCTGAAAAGGCTCCTCCAGTATCTCTCGCTGCTGCTTCTGCGAGAAGGGTGGCGGCTGCGTCTGAGCTGGCTGTGTCACCTGTCAGGTCTCGAATGACCCTCATGAACGCTGGCCTTCTGCACAAGAACTGCGCCTGAAGTCTAAGGCCCCCTGTTGCCCGAAACCCCTGCGGCCCTTCCAGGTACCTCCTCCTCACGGCTCTTGAGAAGCCGAGGAGACGGCTCGTCTCGCTGGTACCTGTCAGATCTCGGGCAGCATCGAATCATGAAGAACGCTAGAAAAGCATGCAAGCCTGGACTATCTACACGTATAGGTAAATAAACAGTATATCAGCCATCTACTCTCTCTCTCTCTCTCTCTCCACGGGGCATAGGGGCAGGTCAATGCCCTAACTCTCTCTCTCTCTCTCTCTCTCCCGCTCCCCATATCCAGATAAAAAACTTGTACGGTATGTACCTATCTGTATGTGTATTTTTTGGCGTGTGTGTATGTATATATATATACATATATACACATACATACATACAGAGAGAGAGAGAGAGAGAGTCTGAGAGAGAGTGCCATCGCAAAAGTCTTTGTGCGTGGATGTTGTCTGAATGGAGATGAGCCAGAGAGGTGGCAAGACCCGTGCTCGACGACGTCGCAGACCCGGAGCTTTCCCATGCACTTACTTCTCGCACCCAGGTCCCAGGACCTCTGAACCCTATAAGTCAATAAGAACCCTGTAAACCCTAAACCCTACACCCTAACAAAACTCCAACCCAGGAGCCGAGCACCGCCACTCTTCTCAGGAGACTCTTTGGGCCCTGAATCCGATGAGGGTTCGTACAACAATTTAGGGGGGTTTAGGGCATTTAGGGTTTACCGAGACCCGTTTTTTTAATCTGGACTTGATGCATGCCAGCATTTCACTGAGCCCTAAACCCTTTTTTGCAATAGGCTTTCCACTTCGCCCCAAGACCCTAAACCCCAAACCCGCCTGTCGAGTTTGGCCTGCATCTCTCGAAAGACTTCTTGCTGCCAGGCCTACAGCTCGCGTCGGAATTTCTCAAGGTTTGGGCTTTGCAGTTATAATTCAAAGGTTCAGGGCCGCAGATGCGAGGGTTTCTCAAGAAATCGTAGGGGAACTGGGGGTCCTTGCCGTACGGGTGTTGGGGATCCCAACTGGCCAGCTAGCCAGCCCGCTGCTACTCCGAAGCCACAACATGGGGCTTAATAACGCACTGCACTGGGGTTCCTAGTTTACAGAGGATTGAAGAATCCCACGAAAAAATATTACCCAGTCTTCAGGCCCTATAGAAAAACGAGTTTCTTGCATGCTCCCGAGCTGTTTGGGCTGCAGGTACTGGGGATCAGGGCTGGGCTGACATCCCAGGTGTCACTGAAGCGGCTGAGGCAAAGAAATATAGTCAGTCATCTTAAACTCTTCCATCGTGCGTATGAAGAAGGAGCTGACAATTAACTTACCGACTTCTTTCCAAAAAATGGCCGGAAGGGCTGTGCCACCCAGCTTTCAATCAGTAATAAACAGCCCCTGGAGGATCATAGAGGTTTAGGGTTTAGGGTTTAGGGTTTAGGATCATAGAGGTCTGCCGCCTCGCTTCTGACCATCGGAAGGGTGGTTGGAAAATGGCTTGATAATCACTAGCATAGGCTTTGGGGAGGGGGTATATTGTATTGAAGTTTTATGTACAGCCTTGTTGCTGGGGAGGGCCTGGTGCAACTTGGCAGATTGCCGCATTTCCCTCAGACGCAGGTGCGCTGACCGCGGCGATTCTCGGAGGTGGGCATCCTTGGCTTGGGGTTTGGGGCAAAAGTTTCGGTGCTCACACTCGGACAATCCGGGCGAGGTAGGTGTTGGAGGTCTGAAAGGTGAGGCTACTGTCTTGACAGACCGGCGTCCATCACGGCGTCCATCACTCGTGGGAGAGGTGTCACAACAAGACCCCTCATAGAAGTAGTGAGAACCTGCCAAGAGGTCTCTCCCTTGCCACTGGAATCCTGTGTTCTGGACTGGCTAGTTCCGGAGGTAGGTCCCTACCAGTTTATTTTGGATCACACTGTGGTTTTTTCCACCAGCGACGTGAAAGCAGAGGGCCCACGGCCGGCCGTGCAAAGCGGGTTCCAGGACAAGGAGCCAAGAGGAGAAACCGACGTATAGCCGACTACACAAGTTCTCTGATCTCTTCCGAAGGCCCTAATTATATATATACACATATATATATATATATACACACTATATATATATATAGATATGTATATTATATTATATTAACCTCATTCATGACTCATAGGCAGGTGATGCTCCTCTCGGCCTCAGCGGCCGGTGCCGCTTGTCAGCTTTTCGGCTTTTCGGATGCGGCTTGAGCTTATTAACCCTAAACCCTAAACCCTAAACCCTAAACTTAGATGTAGAGGCCTTAATAAGTAGATTAGGGTTTGGGGATGCTTTGGGGCCCATTATACGATATTTACAGTAAGGAAGCACTCCCCCTCCAAAAAAAATGGAAAAATATATATACATATATATACATATAGGCAATTCTTCAGGCACCTTTATTAGGGTTTAGAGTTTTGGATTCAAGTCCGCACCGGCAACCGATCGGCTGAGATATATGCCCTGCACCACTCAAGAGGAAAGATTTCGATGATGTCGCTCTTGATCTCATGGGCAGGCCGTAGAAAGCCTTGAATTACGGCTCAGCAACCAGCTGTAAAGACGGCCACAGCCAGAGAGCCCAGTGAGGCCCAATGTGCCCCTGTATGAGGCAATCTTCGCAGGGTTGTGGTGTTCCGTACACGGTTTTTTGAGGTTTTCAGAAGGTTTCAAAGGGCTTTGTAGGCGCCCTGAAAAAAGAAGGCACTTTGAGGTATAAGAGGAAACATGCGAACTTTCGATTAAGCATCCATTTCAACGAAGGGTATCGGGCTCTCTGGAAACTCACATTTCAATGAGGTCTGCGATCTAAGTGTGGTCGCCGAGACTCTTTTGAATCTATGGCTATGGCTTCGGCGGGTCTTAGGGCTGATGTTTCGGAGTTAAGGGTCTTGGGTTTCGGCGGTGCAGAAAAAAGCATACGAACACTGAAGAGGTTCGTGCTCTCCTTTAAACCGAGTCGACGGTCTCGCAGCGCCCTGTCGGCAGAGAGACTCGTGAAAAAACCTTCCTTCGCTGTGGAAGATGGATTCGGGAATATGCCTCCTGTGACGCGAGCTATATGACCGAAGAACCTAATCCCTAAATCCGAAGCCACCAGCTTGGAAAGGCACGACGGTCTGCAAAGTCTCTGATGCCCTGGCTTACGCTGAGTCCTTGAGGTCCTTAACAGTTGAAGGTTCCTTTAAGACCTCTGAGGGTTTCATTCAAGCTGTGCTGGGCGTGACCTTGCGACGCTGCAACAGACTCTGCATCGGCCCTTGAAATGTCGCGCGGGCAAACGGCAAATTAGGGCCAAAAGCCCCACGCGATTGCAGGCCCTTCTAAGCAGGTTTAATCAGGGTTCGGGTTTTGTTTTCCCTGTAGGTGTTTGGTGAGATTGGAACTGGTATTCTCAACGGGATCTATTCTCAGATCATGTGTAGCTCATCCAGGGCCCTTCTAGGGCCGGACAACAGCACATCCGCGGGATCTTTACATGTGATCGGATAGCCGAAGTCCGAAGTCAGGTCCTGAACCCAATCCTAAAAGTAGGTTCCTGCAGGACTATCAATAGGGTTTGGGGGTATGTGATACTATAATTATGATAAGGANNTATGATAAGGACCCCCCCCCCCCCCCAAATTGTACAGGTAATTATGAAGGCTCCTATATGACTGCTTCCTTTCAGAGTCCATGGTGAGGGCTGGTTCGACCTTCCCTCTCGCAAGATATCAGTCGAAATTCGAGCGGATTTCCTGCAAGCATTCCGGCCCGGATATGGGCGAGCTCAAGTCATAGTCACAAGATGAAGGAACAAGAAACAGGTTGGACTGGCTTCTGGGGTTGAGGATTTTTCGATCAGGCCCGCAGGCTGCTTCTTTGCTGCCAAGACGACGACAGCAGCGCCCACTTTTGGCACGGAAGGCAAGCACAAACACCGATTGAAGAGCTGCCATCATCAACGTGCAGCGGGACAGCCGCGTTTGGAGGATCTGTTGCTTTCCGACTTGCCTTCGCCACTGAATTGTGCCAACGATTTGCGAACAACGCCCATTGTTAATGTAATTCGTAGACCAACAACCATGTGAAGACCGCCGCAAAGCTTCGAAACTGTGTGCCTCCAGGCAAATCGCGGAAAAGCCTGTTAGATCATTGCTGTGGCTCATAAAGTCCACTTGGAATGGGAAATTGCTCAGCGATCAAGGCATTTGCCCCAAAGCTTAAAGTGTGTCGGGCCTACGCTAAGCATCCTGGACAGTGAAGCTGAATTGAAACGGCGGCGCAGAGACAAAGTGGAAACCTTATCGACAGTTCCTCGCTGTGCAACATTGTGCGGTTTGAGGTTTTTTGATTATAGTATGCTGGTGCAAACAGCTCTCGTGCCGCGTGTCACCCTGGCAGCTGGAAGCAATGTTGCGAATTCGGTTAACGACAGATCAATGACAAGCACTGTAACACTAAGTGGTTCGAGGTTTCGGGTGTCAAACGCCTGGGCAACATCTTTACACAGAGAAGATCATTCCGTTCTGGAGTCGGACCCTGCCGGAAAGCACCTCTTCCAAATGGGTGAAGAGGGGGCCTTCGGTGGTGACATCATCTGCAGGCTCAGGGTTTGTTGCGGCTCTCGCCGCTGCAGTGTCTGCACGATCAAGAAGACCTGACAAGTAATTCCAGGCGTACGGGCAGTGCTGCACCAGCACTTGCCATTCGTCATGAACTCTGTCGGGCGATCGGTCGAACTCGTTCAACTGCTCCTGCATTTGGCGCTTGATCTTGTTTCGCCAGGTCTTGCGCGGACGATGCGGGTGTTCTTCTCCACGGGCACTTCTGTTTGTGTGCTCGTGGCAGTATGGGCAACTGCTACCTCGCCGACAGCCCCGCTGACTGTGCAGCAGGGCGCAAGGCCTGCAAATGTGGTCCACGCTGGGCCTGGAGCTCAATGTCACTGCCATAGGCCAATCTGCGGCTGCCAAGCTCTGAAGCTCACTTGTTTGCACAGCTGGCGAGTTCGAGGTCGACTCCTGTCGTGCATCTTCTGATGCCATTCTTGCTGAGAAGGCTGGGAAGGCCACACGGCCGCACAAGCGCATCTGACGACGCAGCCAAAAAATATTGAGGCAAAATGGGCTTCAGGGTCCTGAATCGCGGATGTATTTCATGTTCGTAGCCAAAGCATCCACGCAAGAGAGCAAACGAGGACAGGTACTTGCTTTACTGCTTGCATGGACTGTAATCCTCCCACCTCAACTTCCGAGAACAAGCCCCCATGCCACGTCAGTCCAGACGAGGTGCGACCGTCGAGGACCACTCCTCTTCAAACAACTTCAACTTCTGATTCCACAACCCTCGGTCTCTCTCTCTCTCTCTCTCTCTCTCCCGCTCCCGGGCATGGGGGCGGGTCAGCGTCCCCGGGCTCCAGGCGCACCCAACGTCTTGTTGGGCAACGGGGAGTGAAAGACGAGCATATATTATCAAGAAGGCTACAGCCATAACGATTACGATAACGAAGTCATGATAATCGTATGCTCTCGAAGGATACGTGCAAGGGGATGCCTCGAGTCAAGACACAGTAGTACAACAAAGGCAAACAGGCATGGACATCCCCCGTGTGCAATTCATTCTGACAGCCAAGATCCCCCGCAGCTAGAACTTAACCAACAAAGGAACAGCTATGCATGAAGGCCCTAAAAGGCTACCATACGTGAACCACCATGTGCTGCGAGTATGGAGAGTGGCCTGCCCTCTCGAAAAAAAAAGGCTACTCATGTCACTCTGGCAACCAACTTCCCCCGCAGCTTGTAGCGCCCTCTCTCTCTCTCTGTTCTGTTCTCCGGGGCATAGGGTGCTTGTCAGGCACCCCGCGCCGAAGGGCGCACCCCTGTTTAGGGGCCTTGTGGAGGCTGTCGAAAAGACACGGATGCTCGGTCTGCGGAAAAAGAAATGGATGCACTCCCTCTCTCCCTCTCTCCAAGGCACCCTAAGCTCTAAAAACCCAAAGCACTCCTCTGCGATCGACTCTTCCGTCATGGCATCCCCATGGAGAGGCCGCGGCATTTTCTCACGCACCTGGCTGTGCCAACTTGCAGGAGGGTCCCAGAGCTTCCATGATCCGCCCAAAGGCCCAACATAGGGGCCTCAAGCTCAAAAATGTGTTTTAAGTCTTTGGGGAAAATAAAAAAACTACGTAACTTAGTAAGGCACCCTGAAGAAAAATGTTGGCAAGTATTCCAGCCTCTGTATTGCAATCCCTGGCTGGATTGTCTCTTTTCTGGATCTTTTCGCGCTCACCCTTTTCGGCAAACCCTGCCCGAAAGAGAACATATTCAACCCGGAAACGCTCCGTCGAACCTGGATGTACCTCCCGGAGGTTGCGGTGCTACTGCGGACCGCCTCCTGGAGCTGTGTGGGTATCATGGGCAGATGGGTGCATCTCTTTTTTGCGAGCAACGTCTTCCAATCAGATCCTGGTAACAACCCCAAAATGTAGGGGCCTTAATAATTAGCATAGGTTTTTGCGGCATATTATACTATAACATACTATAACTATAATAAGGAACCCCCCCAAAAATCGTAGTGGCAATTATTTAGGCTCCTATATTAGCTCCATACCCCGAAACCAGGCTTAAGCACCGGCATCCTTGTCCACGTTGTGAAGACAGGGGTGCCTTTCCACGTTCCTTGTTGTTCGGAATTTCAGGCTTCAACTTAGAGTTGATTTGTTCGGATTTGGGGCTCGGTGCTTGTATGCTAGTCTAACAAAATGCACTATTATGTAATCTGATACAATAAAACCCAAGACGTCGACTAGAGGCCGAATACTCACCGACTTTCCTTGCAAGGCCACAAGAGCGTGTGCCTGGATGCTGCAAAGCCTTTCTAGGTTGCGAGAGTACGGTTTAGGGCCAAGTTTAGGGCTCAGGATTTATGTTGAAGTTGAGATGACGGAAGACTCGACTCCTTTGACGCATCCATGAAATGCACGAAAAGCTCTATGACTCTATGAAACACTAAAACAAATTAGCCAACATCTTTCAGAGGATGACCACTCTGGCCGCTGAACTTGGGTTGCCATGGGGAAGATGATGTAGCTTCCCGCAGTGAAAGACGAGGGTTCTTGCCATCACCATAAATTTCTGGTCCGACTTGGTCCTTGCAGCTTTTCAAAGTCGTCTCTGCACACACACACACACACCTAGCCTGAAAAGTCCATTGTCCGCAGTGAGTCCGAAGACGTTGATCGCCACAGCGGGGGCTGGCACTGAACACCCAACCTTTAACTGCTGCCCTGGCGCGGCTTCGGCAGCATATGCGGGAGCATGTTAACACCTCGCGAGGTAAGCTTCAAGCACGGAGGCACATCACATGGCACAGGACCTCTCCGTCTAGAAGACAGATAGGCCAACCATCATCAAGCCCGAAGCATTGTACCGAACTGCGCAGAACAGAGCCTCACTTGATATGGCTCGGAGCGCCGTCCGCTCTGCCACATTTACCTGGCCAAATTGCATTCTAGGAAGTCGCTTCGTGGATGTCAGTCTCATCGGTATAGTGCATAAAAACCTCGCGACGCTCATTGCTATCACGTGGTGTTTTCTTCAAACCTTTCACAACCTGAAGTTGAGCTGACGGTAAGCACGAGACAACAGCATTCGGAGGGCTGCTCTGCTTATTGCGGGCAGTAATCACAAAGACAATCGAAACCGGAATGTCAAGGTCTAGTGCTGCTCCCAATATCGGCACCAGCACTAGAGTCACAACTATCAATATTCTTGCTGTTGCGATCGTCAAGTAGATTCTCGGTATCGTAAGCGCAATTCCAGTTGTGATTGCCTGTGTTAAGATGATGAAGGGACCGGCCCAGGGACCAACAATGAAGGCACCCTTCAAACTGCCTCGCCACCCGGTTGCCAAACTCGCAAACAGCCACTCTGCATCTTGCTGGACGCTCTTGGTGCCTACAGTGGGGCTACAGGCCCGAGACCGACAAGTAAAACATGGCGCCGGCCTCAGCCACCCCTGCCGCTGCCGTGGCAGTGGAGGTTTCGAGGCATACAGCTGCAGGTGCTTTCAAAGCAAACACAGGCAACGAAACAGTGAGACCAAACCACTGCCAAACCCAGGCTGTCGATACTCAGAACCCTCAGCCTTAAATCCTGCAGCCCCAAGTCCTATACCCTGAACGGCCACACAAGACTTGCTGGGCACAGCACATGGAGGCAAGTAGACCCAGTGGGCTGCGGCTCCCGCCTCGCGCTTCTCCAGATTTGCCGATTTCCCAGGCGTTCTTCAGAAGTGGAAGAGGGTTCATTCCTTTGAGTGTGCTATAGGAGTTTACGTGTCTATTGGGCAGAATAATCTTTCTACAATTCTACAAGAGTTCTAGTATGAAGGCCTTAGTAATTCGAACAGGGTTTTGGGGTATCTTATACTACAATTACTGCATGTGCAGAGGGACCATATGGGATTCTCTTGGCTGTACGTGGGCAGCCGCTTTTTCACGCAGAAGCACTCGGAGCACTCTTTTCCCCAGCTAGAAATGCACTTCATCGGCAGGTGCTTTGGCAGAAGTAAGGTTTTCCTACAAGCTCCCAGCGCTGCCGAACTTTGAGTCAGCGGATTGCAGAGGTCTTGGATGTCAAGATGCTGAGAGGTATCATCTCGGAAAAAGGTGTCTATAGAGTCTGGGACCATGGAAAATCGACTCCATGACCTCTGAGCATTCCTCCAAAGGCATCTTGCCATTCCCTCAAAGATGCAGGATGCATCTAGCATCGTCATGATGACAATACGCTGGGAAGTGTTGGAGGTTTTGCGCAGTCAGTGCTACGAATCCCACTATGGTCTGCTTTGCGAGCTTCTCAGCTAGCAACGGGGAGGACAAGCTTGCTGCCGTACCATTTGCCTGTCCGCAGGAGTCACGAGAGATGCGTAGACACAGTCATCCACCCAGCCCCAGGAATCTGCCTTCAAGCATCACTTACGTGGAGCTGAGTTTTCGACAATATATACGAACTAACCACTCTTGCAACCTAACAGGCTGCGTCGTCGCCCCCAAGCAGTCGGAGAGATGCACATGGCTTTGTGATTACGGGGCTGCGCAATTCCCTGAAGAGGATGTGTAAAGTCATGGCACAAAGGTTATAAGGGGCCAAGTTATGTTGGGCCATGGCACTTTTTGCATAGTAGTAGAAGAAGTCGCAATAGAGGCCCGTTTGGACCAGTCCGCCGATCCACCCGACGATGTTCACGTAGTCCTGCCAGGTTACATTCGGCAGGTTCCCCAGAATTAAAAAAGGAAATCTGAAAACTTAGAAATAACATCCTCTTATCGTCCCTGTATAACTATAAAATACCTCGAAACCCTACTCAGACTAATCATTTAGGTACCTTTCTGAATGCAAGTGAGGCAGGATCTTCCGCCGGGCACTGCGCAACTTGCCGAAACGGTTGCGGGCTGTCTCCTCTCTACTAACATGATCCCCGACAAGAGAGACCTTAAGGGTTCCTTAAGGGTGCCTATATTGAGCAATGGGCCTCTGCAAAGTACCGGTAGATCCAGTTCAGAATGTAGAAAGCACCTTGAGCGACGAGCAGGTGTGCATGACAGTGTGCGGCGTCTTGCTTGCCGAGCTGCGATAAGCTCCCATGCAGCCCACAAAATCTGAGGTGAGGTTCCTTTGCTGGGCCAGGCCAGCTGTATGTAGGCTTGAAAGCTCGTCTAGCATGACCCGATGTCACAGCTTGATCGGTATGGGTCGTCATGCACCAGGCGTGGTTTAGTGAAACTCACTAGTCCCGCACGGCCATCAACGAGAGCCTTCAGCTGAAACGTGCACTATCGACAGCAGCACAGTTCCGTCCTAGCTACTGTCCCTGCAGCATGGCGGCTGCACCTGTTAAGATTTCTCGAAAACATAATAGTCCGACTAGAATATATTAGTTGCTGCGCTGCAGAACACATCCTTGTCAGGATGGTCCAAGCAAGCAGTGACCCGAAACCCGGCTTCACCGCAGCTCAGGCCTAATCTGCATCCTGTCGGCTCGACCTCTCGTATCTGCTGGAGCAGCACGAGCTGCGGGATGATGGAAACACCTCAGAAATCCATCCATCCATCCATCCCCCNNCCCCCCCCCCCCCCCGCCCCTCCAACCAGACTTCGGCGCAGAAAGCACTTCCAAGCGCTACATACCGCTAGACACCTCATAGGGGCCATATATAAGTATGTGAATAAGGTTTTTGGTGTATATATGATAATGAAGAACCCCAAAAAACATGACAGGTAACTGTTAAGATTTAGGTCCCTATGCCACTTTGCACTGAGTTGGGGACTTTCCAGCCAGATCGACGAGGACCACAAGATATCCGGGATAGTGTACTCCTGCGGTTCTCTAAATTAAGGTTTAGGTT